ATATATATATATATATATATATATATATATATATGTGTGTGTGTGTACATATATACATATACTTATTACTTACTTTATTGTATGTCTTGTACCATGTCCGTTGGTTGTGCTGTTCTTTTTACATCTTTTTGCAGGTGATGAAGCAGACTGAAAATGTTTTATCGTTATCTCCGTTTTATCTCCCCTTTCTTTCCTCTTTTCTCCTTTTTTTCTCAGTTTTTCCTTTCCTGTTCTACTTACATTGCAGTGTCCATATAATCCATAATACTCCCTGCATAATTATAATAAAGCTATTTATATGCCGAAATCACGCAGATCACTATGGTGATAGCCGTAATGCTCCACCTGTGAAAGTAAAATCTGTTTGGCTCTTTTTGGCTTCAAGACAATTATTCTTATTGCCACATTGCCAGACTGGACACTGTTAAAAAAAAAAAAAAAGGTATCTATACTTTACTCCATTAATTATTTTTCTTCCTACTTCTGACTTCTACTCATTACGTTTTTACACATGTAACGGTACTTTCTATTCCTTACATTTTTAAAACAAGTGTTACTCTTACCTATGGTTTAATGTTTATAAATATTTATTTCACATCATGTGCGCCATCCAATGCAGATCATTGTGCCATCCACATCTAGTGAAAACTAGTGTAATTGGATCAGTAATATAATGCAAACACTCATTGGTTAGCCAAAGGAAATCATCAGAAGCGAGCAACTGCAAACGTGTATTGTCTATGCCATGCTACAATGTATGATTCAGAGAAAGATGTTGACATGTCTAAAAAGTCTGACACAGGCGAGAGCGTATCGGGAGTAGTTTTTGGAGCACATACTTTTTCACTTTTACTTGAGTAAAGAGGTCAAGTTGATACTTAAACTTTTACCAGAGGGGGGGTTAGTTGATAGATAGGTATTTTCTTGTTAGTTTAAATATTATCAGGTGGTACTATAACTATACTTTTTTTAGAACTATAGCTTGTTTGTGTTCTGTGTGACTGGGCATTTCTGTTATTTTTAATTATTTATTTATTTATTTATTTTTCATTACTGGATGATAACAATGTTCCTACTATTATTATCTAAGTAAGCTATTGAGACTTTTATTTAGAAAACATAGAGGCCATTAGCAGGAAGTTATATGTCACTAAGCTGTCTAACTGGACGTTCATTTGCAGGGCTGGCTCACTGACTGGTTAAACACACACCAGCCAGGAGAGCTGGCTGCTACTTTATGTAGATTTAGATCCCAGAGAAGGAGACGCCCAGTTCATCTCAATAATAATGAAAATCTTTTAATTCAGTTCATTTATTTATTTTCAAAGGTAAATTGATTAAGGCCGGTTTTGGCCTAACATTTTACGGTGTATTAGCTTCAGATTTGATTTCTTTGGATCCTGTTAATTTTGTCAAACTGATCATGATAACTGGAAGATAATCGAACGCATGTTTTTGTATTTAAAACAATATGAAACAGATAAACATAAAGTTTTTTTTTTTCTTCTATTTGAAGGTTTAGCTCCTCCCACGTCTGCCTGACCGGGTTCTTGACCGGCGGGCAGTAAAGGAACTGTCAACGCAAAAGTCTGCGTGTC